AAGAGAAGTGCCCACACATTTAAAGCACTTCACCTTTCCCTCCCCGAGCGATGTGGGATTGCTCACCGTTCTTGTTTCCCTAAGACACGGGTCTTACAAATAATGTGATATTTGGTTGTATGATTGGATGTCATTTAATTTAATTATATCAATTTAAAGTAAAAAGGTTTATGTCCCTACTGAGCTGTGGTTTCACTCACCCCCTAATATATTTTGCAGGTACCGAACCTGAAAGCTAGAGCTTGTGATGATTATGGCATATTTATAAGAGTGTACTGTGTACATAGCTTATGGATAAATAATGAGCTACTCATTTAAGTGAACTCTTGAGTAGTTCTGACTTGTAAAATAATGTAACAATTTCAAGCTTTCAGATGTTGTCGTTTCCCTGAATATTCTATGTGAAATATTTACTTTAATTATTTAAATGTTTCTTCACATTTTAGTTATAGTTTTTATTAAAATTCTATAATTAAGGTGTGAATCACGTCTTAATCCAAGGTTACGTAAACCCGTGGGTTGGGGCGTGACAACTTACCTATGTTTGGTGTTGCATCGGACTAAGAAGCTGGATTGTAAAAATATTGAAGACCTATATTTGGTACTGTGTCAGACTAAAAAATAATTCTTGTAATATTTAAATTTAATTGGGGTTTTTGACCTAAAAAATAAATAAATGCTACAAAGAAACCCAATTCAAAGCTTTATAAAAATATAAGGCAAAAAAAAGATTTAAAACAATAATAAAAAGAAAACAAATAAAATTCGGATTTTTTTATGAAGAATAAAATTATGATATTTATTTTTTGGCTTCTCAAGATTAATCTTAGTTGATCGAAACATTGCTAAAGGAGCTAAACTCACTCTGTATAATTCTAGGTTTTTTAAGGACCAAGTAAAACAATAATTAAAAAATAATATACATACATATATATAAGTTTTGTATATTTGACTTTTGACTTCAAACTGAAAAATATAATTTGATAAGGTAAAAATTGCTTGTGATAAAGAAAGCTGAATTATTAAACTTGTTTCAATATAATAAAAAAAATCAAACATTTGTAAATTATTATAGTTTGATTTAATATCAAAATAATTATTGTAATATTTAAATTTAATTAAGGATTTTTAGCTATAAATAAATAAATGCTGGAAAAAAAAAAACCATTCAAAGATCTAAAACAATAATTAAAAGAAAACAAATAAAATTATGATGTTTTTTAAAGAGAGGTGTCAGACTCACGTGTTCTATTTAGCGAGCGTGCTATTTAGCGAACTACTTTTCAGGCTCACTACGAGCGAGTGAGGCGTTTTTTTCACTATTGGACTATACAATCTCATTTAAGTTAGTCATGTCTCTTACCAAACATGGGTTTCGAGTCCAGTGAGTCGTGCCAAACATGGCCAAACTATTTTGGGATAAATAAGTCATGTAGTATTCAATTAAGACTTTTAAATAATTTAAACAAATCTTGGGGTATTCCATTAAGACTATTAGGTTTTTTAAAAGAGAGTGGCCAAATCTAGTGGTATTCAATCAAGGCTTTAAATAAGTAACAAAAGGTTTTATATAGTATTCAGAAACTTACTAATTTTGACGGATTTTTTCAAATGTGGAATTGTGTGGGATTTTTTAGTGGGAGGTATAAATATCAAACCCTATCTCAAATCCCATCCTAACTCATCAGATTTTGTACGTAAGATTTTGTTTTTTATGTGAGATATTTTTTCTCTGCTGGAGACTAGTACTGTAGAAGATGAACAGACATAGTGAACATGGTTCCTTCCATGGATAACACTGTGCTAATCTCCTATCATAGAAACGATAAACGGATTTCAATTACATGAACTGATCACATGGGGATAATACATTTAGCATATTCTTAGCTATTTCCTTATCAGAGTAGTGTCTATGTTTTTCTGTTACAATTTTCTTACACATAAGTTTAGCTTCTATATGTTGTTAGTGGAGGAGGTGGATTTCCTTTGTAGCATAATGTGCTGCAAAAATTCCCTCATCAGTTCACGCCTAGTAAATTGTTTTGTATCCCCAGGTAGCTCGGCCACGAATATCAGATGTGGGCTCATGATTATTTGGGTTTAATGACCGAACCTGCAATTTCCTTGTCTGTATTGGGTCCTTCACGACCTTCACATGGACAAATGCAGAACCCAGGCACTGTCAACTTGTCAAGTGGAGTGATGGTGCAACGAAGATGATTGCACATGTTCCCTTTTATATTCTTGGCGGACAAGAAAGTTAGGATCCTTTATCAAAACCCGTTTTACTAAAACCCTGAAAGTTGCAAGGATATACTTAAACTTCTTCTCGCAGAGCACATCGACAAGAACTGTGATCAATATATCAATTCATCTGTACCATCGCATCCTGTTGCTAGTTGAAAAGGATTTTTATTTTTTTTTATGGTTTAAAAAGAAAAGTATGCACGAACCAGAATAGGCTAGGATTATGAACTGGTATACACAGTGTATAATTAAGTATGCACCATTATGCTATATTTTGCATAGATGCCTTATGGAATTTTGGCGTTCACCTTCTCGCAGGTCCAGACGTCCATGATTTTTTGTTTTCAGATATTCTTCCAAGAAGATGAATGGCGGCCCATTTTTTGCATGGTGTTTGCAATCACAGATTGCATCAGTTTGCTCTGTCACAAGTATTTTTAGTTTGTACAGTGCCTTTGTATATCAATCACATTTCTTAAATTAAATGCGCATACAATTTGTTTGAAAATTTCAAGACGTTAGAGAGTTGGTTATTCTCTCTTGATGCTCTGCATTGTTCAGAAGTTAATTAAATGCGCATACAATTTGTTTGAAAATCCTTATATTTTCTTAAAGCATACTCAACATTTGCTTTTACTCCACCCATTACAATTGAGGAGGAGCAACTCCTCAAAACAAATGGAAGTTTGACACTGGTCAAAAATCCCATTTGCTGTGGGGAGTAGCTCCTCCTCAGTTTGAAGGCAGGCGTCTGGCAATGATTTCAAGTGCTTACAATAAACTTGTGCTGAATCATTTATGGTTTTAGTCGTTGCTTTGTAGATCATATAGAGAATCCTAGCGCCTCCTTGATTGACATCACAGTCTTTGCAATAATATTGTGCATAAGGAGCCCTAGTTGATTAGAAGGCTCATGTTCATCAGTTGGTGATTTAACAACGACGTGGAAGGCAATGGTCAAAAGACTCCCACCAGTTTCCTCCCGGTGGATCGATCTGTCAGGAAGGATAGAAAACCCTGAGGGCAAGATAGTTATATGGTCTGGGCATTCATCCTTCATCAACTTGTTCCCGGCATCCTTATAATCGAAGGGAGCATAAACTACGTATGAGCCTGTCGATGCTGTATAGCTCTCTTGCATGTACAATGCTTTAAGCTTCTTTGTTTCATCCTATACAAATAAAATCAAGCAATTCTATTAAGCTTAAATGTATTTAAAAGGGTAAGGGAAAAAAATTGGAATTTATCTTCAACTCACATTAATGGCTCGCAATATAGAAACCCCATTTTCTGGATTGTCACCATTGCTTATATAAGCACGTTCATCGAATCTATGATTGTGTCCGTAGATATCCCACTGTTTTATATACACAAGTTAAATGGAAGACATGATCGATCTCTTTTTGATAGATGTTAATGAAAGGACTATAGTTAAAATATGTGTCCCAGATAAGCCACTAAAGTCAAGGTATGTTGAATGAAGAAATGAAGCCAAACTTTCAAATTTTGTCAAGTTGAAGGTAGAGGATTGATTAGTCATGAATGAGATTTATCCTTACAATCCTGACAGAATGAAAAAAAATTCATCTCAGCCTTCATTTGTTACTTCAGCATACCTTGAATGTTATGAGTTATTCAATCTAATCCTAGGCACCAACGTAATCTTTATGTCCGCTTTAAGAGCTACTTGCATGCTCCTCTTCTTTTCAATTTTTTTTTAAAGAAAACATTGCATATTCAAAATTCAGAAAACATACCTGTCTCCGAAATTTGACATCACGAAGTAAACTAAATACTTGTTTACTTGGGGCTGGAAGGTGGACGGAAGTAGCGAACACTGTTGTGGTACCTAGAATCTTTCCATGGTCATCCGTGCTACTCTTTGTCGATATCATTATGTCAGCACCCGACACTGGAAATGGCATCCATTTGTTCTCTCTTGAAGCACTGATGTCCATGAAAAAGCTTTTTACCATTCTCTCCGAAAACTTCAAGAAGAATGTTCTTTGAGGTTGCAGTATAATCACTAATCAAAATAAGGGGAAAAAGCTTAGCTATTTAATTAGAGCATCTAAATCCAAGTCGATCCATGTAATTGACTTGATTTTATCAAGATGCATGAAACAAATTAATTGGGATTTAATTATTTAATTACCGCCACGATCGGTAGGACTGTTTGGAGCCTTTACAGTTGCAGACCATTGAAAATGCTGAATTAAAGTGTTAACCCAACGCTTTGCACAGAACGCAAAACCAGAAGTGACCAGCGGCTGAAAAAAATGATGAACCAGTCTGTTATCCACCACCACCTGTTCCACCCATATAACCTTAGAGCATCCATTTGGCATTTCTTCAATCAAACAGCCTGATGGTCGTCTTCGAAAGTTTCTTGATGGAAATTGGGGCAACGTTTCCGGGGACACATCAACAACTCCCCACAAGCCACTGCCTAGCTTTTTACAATACCTTGCAAAAGAACTTTCTCTTGTCGGAACAAGTGGTGATGGGGCATGAAACTCGGCTGTCATCTGGAAGCAACAATAACCTGATAATTAACTTTATGGTACGATGGTTATTATAAGAAGAATTAATGCTAGTGTCAGCCATAATTAGTGTGGGACTCACTCATGGTGGATCCCACACCAATGGTGCGTAGTCGGACGACTACGTTTAGCAAAACTCTAATGCACTTTGTCGAATGGTTACCGACATATTACAATCGAAAATTATGGCATTACCAAATAAGGAAACGAAACCAGTTTGGATGGACTACATTCAACAAAGTGTAGTTCCTAGAAAGTGTTAATTACTAGCAAAGCAACAGGAGAAATGACTATTTTGTTAACATTTAAGAACAATTTATTCTTTTATAAATTATGTCAACCAAGTCTCTTAAATAACCCTAAGTAGGATTAATTTCACTAAAAGTAATCTTACATCTGAAGCTAATGTTTCACAATTATCTCATGATATAGTTGGATGAAGCATATATAGGTTTCCATTTATATATATTACCAGTTGGAGAGTTCCATCGTAGTGTCTTTCCGCTCCCGTTGATGCCAAAACTCCCACTACCGTTGCTTTAGAGACAATATTGGAAAAAGCAAGTGACCATTGCTCCTGATTATCAATCAAAATATAAGCAATCAAACGTGTTTCATAGAAAAACACTAAATCAGTTTAATCAAAAGAGAACCTACCAAATCCATCAAAAGTTCAATAATGCTGATAGGACTCGTTTTGAAGTACTCAACTGCTCGTGAAGATTCAGAACTAACTGCAAGAACTGGTTCATGAGAGTTGTCAACTTCCAAGGTTGGGGGCGATTGACATTCTCTCACCTTAACCACTCTCATATACTTGACATCACTTAGCATTTCAGTATTGTTTTCCTTGTCAACTTGCCAAAGGGGCTCTTGAGCCAAAGCCAAGCTTAAAAGCTCTTCCATCGCTTCAGAAGCTCGTCCGCTGATTTTGATTTTGCTCACTTCAGCATCTGGAGAGGCTGACATAAGTAGATCACTGCCTCTTTCATCAGTATCAAAATTGCTTCCAAGAATTGGTTGTGACCCCAAATCTGAGAGTTGCGCTCTTGTTGAAGAGCCTTGAGGGGACGCAGTGGGTTGAGGCAAGTCACTATGATCTAAATCATTTTCTGGATTGCTATCTATCTGAAAATTAACCAAAAGGAAGAATATATTGAGTTTTATAAAATATAAAAATTAATTTTTTTTAAAGTAAAATGAAACTCAAAATCCATGAGAAGTCAGAGTGAGATTAACATGGTACGAATTCAAAGTAGATCAAACATTCTTCACTTCCGATAATCCCAGCAAAACAACCAAAAAAGAACGAAGATATACAAATATTGCCCACAAATATATGAAAAAACACGTATTTCTGTTCAGTCACAATCCCCATTACATTTTTCTTGATTACCTTTAAATCGACCCATAGATCTAACCCGGATTCGCAGTAACCCTCTACCTTAGTAATCTTCCCAGCTGATCGTGCACACACTTCCATTAATCTGAAAAAACCCAAACCAAAACCAAAACCAAAACGGTGAAAGCCATTACAATGATGACGATATCAACTAAAACTTCACAAAATACTTAGAGAAGTGATCATCAAGAGAAAGACGGGCAATGCATGTGTCCGTATATATATATACAAAGAAACTTACTTGAAAACCCTTTGGATCTCAGGATCATTAGTTGTTGGTCCTATAAAATTCTCAGAATCATTCACGTTCTTGAGATGGTCATCAACTCCACTGCTCGAAGTACGACTGCGCTTGGTCTTCCTTCGTCCAGGCATTTTTAGCTGAAAACATATGCACACCAAAACACCATGTCACATTATAATCAAGGATTTTAAATCTGAAAAAAATTAAACTTGAAAACATAGAAATTTACTTTGGGAAGTTGGTCTGAAATATATGCAAGAATTGATTAGGGCAGAGGATAATGTAGTACTTGGAGATGATAAGTGAGTGTGAAACTGGAGGTGTGTATCGGGGATTTCAAGGAGGTTTAGGGCAAGGGTTTGGAAGCTGCAGGATTTCTTCGGACACTGCCAGGTGAAAGGCACTTGGAAGGTGTACTTATAGTAGTAACCCAGTCAAAAGCTGACGTGGCTGAATGCTGTTCTATGATTGGTTGAAGGTTTGGAGCAAGAGTGTGATGTCACTCTTATGAGAGTGCGGGCCTTGGGATCAAAATGAATGTGGTCAAGTGATAGTCTAAGCAGAAAAGGCGACGAATCTCGTGAGACCTAATTTACTTGGCTAAATAATTAATTAGTTGTTTAAAATGGAATAAATTTGGCCCTCCATATTAGTAAACACGTTATCTAATTTGGACAGTCCCAAAACTTTTGGGTCTAGTTACAATTTTTTTTGTTAAATTTCTTTACAAATTTGCAATACAAAAATCACAGAACAGATAAGTTTTCCTTGATACATTGGAAAGTAAGAATATAACCTTTTTTTTTTTTAATTGGTTCTTTTTGCTAGAGAAACCAAAAGTATATAGATAAGAGAAAAGACGGAAAAAGGATGGTGGATAGAGGGTGATGGAAAGGAGAGCGAGAAAAGAAGACAATTTATGAAACAAAAACATGAAGAAAACAAACCTACTCATAATTATTTTGAAGTTTTAGTATTAAGCTTTCACTTTGTATGCCATTTCTTCAACATCCCACTTCCACCACCATTCCCCCATCCCAAATTGTTTGTATAACATATACTTCCACTCCATTTTCCAATCAAGCAAATCCAAAAGAGTTTGAATAGTAATGCTAGCCCTTGTCCCCCATTTTTCTTATTTAGTATCTCTTCCCATTATTTTTTATTAGCTGGTTATGGTTATAGAGGAATTTACAAAGATTGGAATGATATATTAGTTGTGCAACTTCCACTTTCCAAGAGCTAAACAATAAGTTTATTATCGCACTTGAAATCATAGTACGCTACCATATTTGTGAATTACATTGTGGACAATATCTCTAATAGCGACATGGGAGATCAATGTGTCCATAAATATAGTATAAATAATTTCAGTCTTTATTAGCTATGAAATTATCTTAGTGGGTATCTATGTATGCATCAAACTAAAAAATCTGGACAATCAATTTCTAAAAATCCGAGCATGACCTTGAAGAATCAGTCAGAAAACCATTTAAATGGGTAATATAATATACAGTAGATTCGACTATATACAAGCACATAGCATTGGAAGGTTTTTCAAATTTCTACCATGCACATGACCTTAGGCACTGGTGGCAAATTTATAACTGCACCAGATGAATAACTTCCTGGCTTAATCGACTTCTAGATCATAAATTCTAAACCCTCCTTGATTGAACTCATGGTTGTTTCAAGAATTCTATGTACAACGTTGAGATGTTGATGAGGAGACATATGTTCTTCAGTTGATGCTCCAAGAGCGATGTGGAAGGCAATAGTCAAAAGACTTCCTCCAGTTTCATCCTGGTGCATTGGCTTGTCAGGAAGGATAGAAAACCCTGAGGGCAAGATAGCCACATAATCTGGGTTTCCACCATTGATGAGGTCGGTCATGGCACATGCGTCTATCGGTGCATAAACAACATACGACTCCATTGAGTCTGTATAACTGGCTTGCAAGTAAAATATTTCAACCTCGTTCATTTTGTCCTACAAATTAAATCAAGCAGTTGTGTTAACACAAGTTGAAGTCAGGCTTACAATATGTTGAATCTTCAAAAGGGAAAAGGAAACAAAAAAACAGGGTACATGCAACTCACATTCATGGATCGCAATATGGAGACACGATTTCCTGGCTTTTCTCCAATAGTGAAATAGGCATATTCATGGAATTCATGTTGAAATGCAAGCATATCCCACCACTGTATATTATACACAAAGTAAGTACATTGGCATGATGATCTCTTTGGAATAGACGTTTATATATGGAAGGATTATGTATAGGTTCAAAAATGAATGCTACTTACGTATACGTATTAGAATTTAGAGCCTAAGCGTTATTATGTCACACGGTGTTACCATTGCACAGTAATTTTTCAAATTACAAAACTCCTAGTTTTCACATGGGATCCAGTAATGATCTTTATCCCTCTTTGATTTGGCCATATCAATAGACTTATGCTCATTTTTCCAAACCACCATATTGATTCAAAGTTGAGTACTGTACATACCTCACTTCGACATTTCTCATCCCGTAGAAAACTGAATACTTTTTTTCGCGAGAATGGATGGTATATGGAAGTAGCAAACACTACTGTAGTACCTGGAGGCCTTCCAGGGTCACCTGTGCCACTCTTCATTGAGATCCGTATATTTTCAGCACCTGATGTTGGCCATGGTAGTGACATCCATTTGTTTTCAGAACAAGCACTGATATTTTCACTAAAGAAGCTTCTCACCATCCTCTCCGAAAGCTTTAACAGGCTTCTCCTTCCCTGTTGCGATATAAACCCTTATCATTGGGAAAGATCAGCTCAGTTACTTAATTTATCAAGCTGCAAGGAACAAATTAATTTGAATTTAATTATACCTCCGTCAGTTGAAAAACTAGTCCTTCTAGCCATTGTAGTTTCCAGCCATTGACATTGTCGAATCAACGTAGCAACCCAACGCTTTGCGCAAAATGCAAAACCAGAACTGACCAGCGGCTCAAACATATTGTTAACAAGTGAATTGTCTACTTCCACATGTTCCACCCATATAACCTAGCATATGAAAAGGAACTCCATTATACTGTTTAAGCTTTGCTCTACCATGCTAATTTAAACTGAGAATGTTGTCTACTTAATTAACAAACACACACATACATTAGACCATCCATCTGGCATCTCTTGAATTAAACAGCCTGATGGCTGTCTTCGAAAGTTTCCTGATGGGAATTGAAACAATTTTTCCAAGGAAACATCCACAACTGCCCAAGTGTCGCTGCTCAGCCTTTTGCAATACCTTGCAAAATAACTTTCTCTAGTTGGGACTAATGGTGTAGGGGCATGAAATTCAGCTGTCATCTAGAAACAACAAAAACTTGAGAATATTAGTTTTATTCTAAAGCATTATATAGTGTGGGTCTCACAGTGAATCCCAAACCAATCAGTAGGTCATATATAGTCGTCACTCGTGGACAATTGTGTTTATGAAAAATTGACTATAAATGCATTTTGTCGCATCAATACCGACCTAACAATCCAAAATCTGTGCAAACTAAATAAGGAAAGATGAAAATTTAACAACCCATTATGTATGTAAACCTATAAGAATGATAACCTTCACTTGTACATTATCACTTGAAGCTAATGTTGTAAGATCTCACATCAACCAACGGAGAGTGGGTGATGTGTCTTATATGTACATGCCTGCATCCATCTAGCACAAGGTCTTTTGGGAGCTCATTGGCTTCGGAATCATGGGAACTCCGAAGTTAAGCGAGTTGGGGCTAGAGCAATCCCAGGATGGGTGACCCACTGGGAAGTTGCTCGTGAGTTCCTAGAAACAAAACCATGAGGGCAGAGAGGGGGGGCCCAAAGCGGACAATATCGTGTTACGGCAGAGTCGATCCCGGGATGTGACAATTGGGTATCAGAGCCACTCTGCCATGTGATGAGAGTGTGCCGACGAGGACGTCGGGCCCCTAAGGGGGGTGAATTGTAAGATCCCACATCGACCAACGGAGAGGGTGTGATGTGCCTTATATGTACATGCCCGCATCCATCTAGCACGAGGCCTTTTGGGAGCTCACTGGCTTCGGAGTCATGGGAACTCCGAAGTTAAGCGAGTTGGGGCTAGAGAAATCCCAGGATGGATGACCCACTGGAAAGTTGCTCATGAGTTCCCAGAAACAAAACTATAAGGGCAGAGAGGGGGACCCAAAACGGACAATATTGTGCTGCGGCGGAGCCGATCCCGGGATGTGACAAATGTCATGCTTGTCTCATATGAGATATTGATTACAAACTCATGGTTATATATAGATTCAATGTTATATATGGTACTTTCTTCATAATAGTTCTCGCAGACGGCGAAACACAACCTTTAATCAATTGTAATCCAATTTCATTATGCTAAAATCAAAGACATGTAATATTTAATGCATCCAAAAAAGATGAAAGCATCATTTATATAAAACTTCCTCCCATTTAGAAATATATATGTGCATGCAAAAAAGACTTGGAGTTGTCTTGCTTTGAAACCCTTCCATACAAAATTTTAGTAGGGTAAAATAATTACCACTTGAAGAGTTCCATTGCAGTTTCCTTGCACTCCTGTGGATGATAAAACTCCCACTATCGCTGCTCTAGAGACTATATTAGAAAATGCTTGTGACCACTGCCTCTGATTATCAAACAAAGTATAAAAAATCAATAATATTTCGCGGTTATTTTAAACTTGTTTACAAAGGAAAACAAAAGATTAAATAATCAGAAGAGGACATACCAAATTCATTAGCAATTGAACAATGCTTGAAGGATTCATTCTCACCAAACCAATTTCTCTTGAAGCTTCAGAACTAACAGGTTTAGGTCCAACTTCTTTTGGCTTATATTGACTTCCTATTGAAAATTCAGAATTGTTCATGTCCAAGCTTGGCAGAGACTGAGAGTTGTAATCCAATTTCATTATGCTAAAATCAAAGACATGTTATATTTAATGCATCCAAAAAAGATGAAAGCATCATTTATGTAAGATCCCACATCGACCAACGGAGAGGGGGTGATGTGCCTTATATGTACACACCCGCATCCATCTAGCACGAGGCCTTTTGGGAGCTCACTGGCTTCGGAGCCATGGGAACTCCGAAGTTAAGTGAGTTGGGGGCTAGAGCAATCCCAGGATGGGTGACCCATTGGGAAGTTGCTCGTGAGGTCCCAGAAACAAAACCGTGAGGGCAGAGAGGGGGGCCCAAAGCGGACAATATCGTGCTACGGCGAAGCCGATCTCGGGATGTGACAATTTATATAAAACTTCCTCCCATTTAGAAATATATATGTGCATGCAAAAAAGGCTTGGAGTTGTCTTGCTTTGAAACCCTTCCATACAAAATTTTAGTAGGGTAAAATAATTACCACTTGAAGAGTTCCATCGTAGTTTCCTTGCACTCCTGGGGATGATAAAACTCCCACTATCGCTGCTCTAGAGACTATATTAGAAAATGCTTGTGACCACTGCCTCTGATTATCAAACAAAGTATAAAAAATCAATAATATTTCGCGGTTATTTTAAACTTGTTTACAAAGGAAAACAAAAGATTAAATAATCAGAAGAGGACATACCAAATTCATTAGCAATTGAACAATGCTTGAAGGATTCATTCTCACCAAACCAATTTCTCTTGAAGCTTCAGAACTAACAGGTTTAGGTCCAACTTCTTTTGGCTTATATTGACTTCCTATTGAAAATTCAGAATTGTTCATGTCCAAGCTTGGCAGAGACTGAGATTCTCTAACCTCAACCATTTTCACTATCTCCATTAATGTGTTATTCATATCCCCAAACTCCCTCATGTACTCAATATCACTAAGAATCTCCGTGTTGCTCGCTGTGTCAACTTTCCATAGAGGCGCTCTAGCAAAAGCCAATTTTACAAGCTCTTCCATTGCCTTCGAAGCAAGCTCGGAGATTCTAAGTCGGTTAATTTCTGTGCCTAATGAAACTGACATAATCAGGTCACTGGCTCTTTGATTATTGAACCCACCAAGTGTTTCTGTCCCAAAATCTGAGAGGGGCACTTGTGGTGAGGAGCCTTGAGGGGACGCAGTGAGCCGAGGCATGCCCATATGATCTGAATTGTATTGTAGGTTGCTATCTATCTGAAAATTAGCCAAAACGATGAAAGATTGAGTTAAATGAAAAATTCAAATTAAACTCGAACATCAGAATTAAGATTGAGCTAGGTTAACATGACACGAAATCAAAGCAGATCAAGATGATTTTAGATACATAGGTTTATGAGACTCAAAATTCTTCATATCCGATAATCCCAAGTACAAAAACAAAGCAAAATATAACAAATAAAAAAATTGCCCACAAATATATAAAAATCATAAAATCACCTCTTGTTTTTAAATATGGTTTTGGCCCAATTCTATAACTCCATAGGTTTTGAATTTTGAGTATGTTAAAGTAAACCTGCCAAGAATATTTTTAGCCCTAATGTAACTTGAATAGAGTTGTATTCGATAGTTGGCACATATTTAAAGAAGACTTTCACTTTAGCATTCAACACTTTATGAAATTGTCTTTATCATACCTCTAGATTTAAGTCTTCCTATGGATAAAATGAAGCTACAGTTTCTCTAGGGAAGGAATGGTATGCTCTAAAGTTGTGAAGATTGTGACTAATATTTGGCATTCCTCGGTGGTTTATACTGCGTTGATCCCTTCAAATGGTGGTGGTGGTGGTGCTATGAATTTGGAAAACTTGTTTGGATTGTCTACTTGTAATCCAAGTAGGAAGACTCGACATACCACTAACTTTGATTTTCCTTATAACCTTATATGTATGATACATGAGTTTCCTTTGTTGTTTGATTTGTCCTGATCAAATTGGTTATTTGATTTACATTGATTTTTTGATTTCGTTTCTTGACAGTATACAAAAGATGATAAACTGACATGGAATTATACTCCCATCCCATGCCCTAACAAGTATGCGGTTTTAAAATTGGCATAGCATGCATGATACTTTTGTTGTCATGAGAACTGAGATTTCTATGATTTTGGAGATAACCTTGAGATAATGTAATTTGAGATTCAATAAATGAGAATGTTCACGCATCATGATTATTTATGGATATTTTTGCACTTGTGCGAATCCGAGATGTTTAAACTACTGGCTTGAGAGCGCAGGCTGCAGTAAGGCTGCATTGCTTCGATCCCCTAAATCTACGGGTATTTCTAATTCTCATTATTAGAGGCGTAGATTGATGAACTTTCGTCCAGCTTGTGTGTCCACTGTTGCTACTAAACAAGCATTCATCTGAATAAGCTCCATTTCAGGAAAGAGGAGGTAAGAATGTTATGAGACGTGAAAAGCTTCCTGCTGATGTAACATGTGACTTATTATTGTTTGTTTACTTAAGAGTATGATATAGGGGCGATAGGGAGCAGGGACGGGGATGGTATTGCCATACCCAGCCCTAAACCAGCCCATTGTCATCCCTAGTTATTCTTATTCCTCTTCAAATAATTAATCAGTGACATTTAGACTTATTATATACATT